TTGCCCGGCGCCTCCGCGCTGGGAAGTAATCCCCCTTTTGGAGGATTGTATACACTCAGAGTATGGAGACGGTGACTCGTCTCCTCTCGTGAGCGGTGATGTCAAATTCGGGTAAGGTTTAGCCGTGAATGCCACTGTTGCGACAGAGACTGAATTCTGGCTTGAGGTGTCAGTGAGCGTAGCTCGCGTGATTAGTCGCATATGCGACGAAGGCTAAGTCCCGTATGGACTTAGAAGCGAGTGTAATTCGCGTGCTGAGTCGCGTATGCGACGACGTATACGTTTCGCGTCGATTTATAAGCGAGCGTGGCTCGCATGGATAAGACCGCGTGTGCGACTAATACGCAGAGAATATCTCGCAGGGACTTAGAAACGAGTGTAACTCGCGTGCTGAGTCACGTAGGCGACAACGTATAAGTCTTGAGTCGACTTAAAGGCGAGCGTGGTGTTCGCGTGACGGCTGCGGCTCTGGCAGTGCCATAACGGTGAGCATGGCTCGCGTGGTAGCTGCGTTCCTGGTAGCGGAGCAATGGCGAGCGCGGCTCGCGTGATAGCTGCGTCCCTGGCAGCGGAGCAATAGCGAGCGTGGCTCGCGTGATAACTGCGTCCCTGGCAGCGGAGCAATAGCAAACGTGACTCGCATGATAGCTGCGTCCCTGGCAGCAACTGAGTTCTTGATGAGAACGGAGATTCTCGCGGAGTCGTGAGCCCGACAGTAACGCGTTCTATCGAACTGATCCACGATATCTGCAATACGGGAGATATCACTAAAAAATGCGTCCACCGCGGTAGAGGCTTCGAGGTATTCCGGAATAGTCGCGCGAACCCTTCTCTCAATCACCGATCGTATCGAGAAGGTGGAGATCCGTGGAGTTACCAAAACACTTCGTGCGAAGAAAGCCAATGTGTCTACGACACTCTAAAGGCAATGACTCAACATGCACGCGCACTTAAGAAAGCTGTGGAGCGTTCTATGTGGTTACAAAAGTACCTCGAGCGAGGCAAGTCACCGTGTCGTAGACACTCTAAAGGCGCGACCTGATGTGCAATTGCATCAAAATACACCGAGTAGTCTCGCGCGGCGCCTTATATAGGCGCCTAACCAGAATTTAACCGCGAGTGACGGCTCCGGCTGATACCGTCGCCGCGTCGCGGTGACGATGCGAACCGGCGACTGCGAGTCGGGCGGCTCCTGGGGCCCGGCCGCCCGTCATAGCCGTTTCGTACGGACACACACGTCTCGTACTGAACACTGACCAATACATATTTCAGCTATAATAACCAATTCTATAAACAAATTTCAGGTGCAGCCATGGGATCCCCAATCTCTCCAGTCATAGCTAACATCTTCATAGCATATTTCGAATCTCAAGTCATCCAAAAGTGCCAGTTGAAACTTCGAATATGGCTCAGATATATAGATTACATTTTCGTCATCTGGCAACACGGAAAAGAAAAATTCCAGGAATTCCTACATGTGCTCAACATACAACATTCCAACATTATTTTCACAATAGAAGTCGAACAAAACAACAGACTCCCTTTCCTGGATGTCCTAGTCACAAAAAGAACAGATAGTTCCCTCACCACGTTTACAGGAAACCTACACACATCAACCGCTATCTCCATGCTGAATCACACCATCACCCAGCTCAAAAACAATCGCTCCTCGATTCGCTAATATATAGAGTATTAGTCATTTGCGACAAAAACAGCATCTAAAGCGAACTCAAGGATCTCAGGAACACTCTTCAAAATAATGGCTACACGGCAACACAGATAAACAAAACAATCAGGAAACATCAAACCAGAAGATATCAAAACACACGGACTGAACAACTCCAGGGACAGACAAAAGAAAGAAACTCCATCACCACCTTTCTTCCATACATATAGGGAATTACAGACAAAATTGGCAGAAAAAAAACACAATATCAAAACCGTCTACAAACCACTAACAAAAATAGGACAATATCTGAACAACCCAAAAAACAGTAGACCTCCACTAAACACTCCTGGAGTATATAGAGTCTCCTGTTCCTGTGGTAAAGTCTATATAGGAGAAACCGGGAGGATGGTGAGCACACGTATAAAGGAACATCAAAACGCAGTCAAACTAAAAAATATAACACAGTCAGCACTAACGGAACACAATCTAGAAAATGGAACACAATATCCTGTTCAACGAAATAACAGTACAGGCCAAAACAAACAACTACTTCTCTAGGAAATATAGGGAATCCTTTAAAATTCAAAAACACTCCAACAATCTCAGCAGGGATAATAGACAAAAAATCAATCCAACCTGGCAATCCGTCTTTCTGGTTTCCAAAACATGACAGACAACAAATTTCCCACCACCATCTCCACTGCTAATACCTCCCCCCCCTCACCTTACTGTCTCCTCCTTGTCTCTCTCTTATGCCAACTATTATATAAAGGAAGATCTGTTAGGAACAACTCGGCATCAGATCGTTCCTCCCTGATAAAGCGGACTGAAATGTTCGCGAAACGTCGGAATCAAACAAAGATGAAACCATGCGACTCAAACCTGGAAACCAAATCTAATATGCATGTACACCGCAAAAGCCTAAAAAAATCAAACAATTTGAAATAATTGCAACAATTGAAATGTTATGCCCTGTACGAACATGAATCATACATCTTATCTTTTCTTCCTCTGGAATGCATTCAACAAACAGCTCAAGATCATAAACGGTTTTTTGTCTTCCACAATAAACATTTTCTACGATAATCCCAGATATAACCCTACGGGATATTTCCTTACGGGAAATACGTAACCAAAATTCTCCTAATCCTTAAGACACATTCCAACTTTATCTACAAAATCAAAGGAAGCCGCCAAATCTCAAACATAAAATATCCGTTGTCGCCGTCACGCTTCTCGATGACTCATTTTTTCCGACTTACATCCTCTTTTTTTTTTTTTTTGGTAACGGGGAGGAAATTCCTGATGCATAACTCAGTCTTCTGGGAAAGACTAGAGGTTATGTCGAACTTGCACCGACCTCCTCGTGTGACCTACCTAGACCGTACCCTAGGGACGTCCTGAGAACCGCTAACACATACCTTTCGGGACGTCCCCCGGTCCGACGCAATACGCGCCTCTAACCTAAACTAATTTGCAGCGAGCAAAGACACCACCTCTCCCCGCTCTCCCCAATCCTAAACGCTTCAGGACAGGGATTCCCAGCCAACTACGTCCTTCTGCGTATTACTGTACAAGGCTAGTTATGCCCAACAAGAGCAGACCCGGCCACGTACATAAACATGCATGCGCACACAGACATACACACGCGCGCACGCAAAACGCAGGGAAAAACATACATCTGACAACATTTGAACCAAACAAAGAGCAGAGTGCCATCTCTAAAGGGAGGTACAGGTCATTGGACAGCATTAACCTGCCGTAATCTCTCCGCAACCTCCTTCTGCCTCATTACGCTCTCCGCAAAACGAATCGCAGCCGTCCACCCTTCCTCCGATTCTAACATGGCCCTGATTAGAGCAGGTGGAGACAAATCCGCTCCTACCACTCGCCGAAATTCCGCTCTCTCGGTCGACCAAGACGCACAGTCTCGAGAGTGTGCTGAGCAAAGTCCGTTCCATCACCACAATGGGTGCACTGATTCGTTCGGTCCTTATTTATACGGTACAAATAGTCCCGAAAACACTCATACCCTGTAAGGATCTGCGTAAGATGAAAGCAGATCCCGCGTTTCCTAGTGTGACCGATCCACTTTACAAAGTTCGGCAAAATTGCAGTACGGACACACACACCCGCTAAATTTGGTTGATCCAAATGACCTCGCCACTGTCCTTCCAAGAAGAGTTTCTCCTCACTATAAATCTCACTTTTGGATTCAAGCGTCCATTCCTCAGACCCCTTTAGTACGCTGATATGCTCATACATCCGCTGGTAATACATCGCCGTAAGATAGAGCGGCGGAATGCGCGCTAGAAGAGACGCAGCCTCCAAGAACACAGTTCTATAACCCGCGATCACACGCAACGCTACAAAGCGCTGGACTCGTAGAATAGGCGCCTGCGCCCGCCTAGCCGATGCGGTCGTCGGAATCAAAGCATTGCTCCAAACCGGAGCGCCATATAAAAATACCGACGACACTACAGATGCATATAGACGTCTTTTGATTTCTGCAGGGCCTCTCAAGTTAGGCATAAGACGACCCAGAGCTCTAGCAACCTTCATAGCTTTGGTGGCAGCATACCGAAAGTGGTCGTAAAATTTGAGCCGGCTATCCAACACAATGCCCAGATATTTCAACGTGCATTCCACTTGAATAACTTTATCCTCGATGCAAATCACAGGTAAAACCTGCGGCTTTCTTCCTCCATGAAAAAGAATTGCCTCGGTCTTCGCCGCAGCAATGAGCAACCCAAGCTGCTGAATCCTGTCAACAACCGCCGCAGCCTGCAAACTTGCACGAACACGAGCTGATTCGACCGTTCTCGCAGTCGCAACGATAAGCGTGTCGTCCGCATAACCAATAATATGACACCCCTGTTCTAGACGCGTTTCAAGAACAGAGTCATACGCAAGATTCCAAAGCAGGAACCCCAAAACCAAGCCCTGGGGAACCCCCGTTAAGACGGATCGCCGCGCAACGCCACTACCGGCAATCGGATATTCCACCGAACGGTCGACCAAATAATCGCTGATTATCCTACGCAAATAATCAGGGAAACCCTTGGCTCGCAGTGCCTCTTTGATTCACGCAAACGGAACGCTGTTAAAAGCATTGCAGACATCCAAGCTAACCGCAATAGCCACGCCGCCCTCCGCAAGGGTCTCTGAGACAATTCTCCGGAGCCGCAAAAGGGCGCCACACATAGAATGACCTTTCCGAAAACCGAATTGGTTGTCGGATAAAGCAGCGCTCGCATGTCCCTCCATCCACGCTTTCATATAATTAACGATAATTCTTTCGAATATCTTCCCCGTTTCGCTTAATAAACAAATGGGCCACACTTTAGGAAGTAATGCATCCGGATTACCTGGTTTGGGAATCAAGACCAACCCGGCACACTTCCAGACAGCTGGGAATATCCCTTTCCGAAGGCAAAGCGTGAAACACTCACTAAGTCTCTCCAGGATCTCGCGCGGGGCACGCGACCGATCGAATTCCATCGAGGCCAGGTGTCTTATTGAAGCACTTCTTACGGTGTATGGCTGCATAAGTCTCCGCCAGAGTCACCGAAAACTCGCCCCTCCATACACAGTCAATACGAGGTACTATCAACTTCCTCTATTCACCGGAAAAAGGGAATCCAAAAGATTCCGAAGTATCCCATCTTCCAAAGTCTCTGTCATTGCAGGATCGGATCTTCGCAAACGACCCAGGACCAGTCTGTACGGCATCCCCCAAGGGTCAGCATCAACCGATCTCACTAGGTCCCGCCACGAGTCGATTTTGGCCTTACAAACGGCCCCACGCAATCTGTCCCGAGCCGCACGATATTCCAGCCGCAACCGCAACCGCTCCTCCATCTTAGCTCCATTATCAGGTGACGATGGACGGCGGGCATTATTCCGAGTCACCAGTCTACGCGCAGATATACACGCCCGACGGAGTTCCGCAATCTCAGGAGTCCACCAATGAGCATTGCATTTAGGTAAGAGCTTTCCGACTTTAGGTGCCGCTAAATCGCACGCATCGCGCATAGCTCGATCCATCCATCTGGTATATCTTTCCGCAGCTGCAGAATCATCTTCACTGGGGCCCGCTGTGCCATGTCACTCCAGAGCCATACCAGCGCAGGTACATCCATCTTGGTCCAATTCCATCTAGGACGTTTACAGGGGTCAGTCCCAGCACTGGACGAGAAACCCCTACGCACAGTCGCAAAATCGATGTCATATCGGATATAAAAGTGGTCCGATAGAGTCTCAGTTTCAACGACAACCATCCAGTTGGAAACACGTTCAACGAGGTTAGAGGATACCCAAGTGAGGTCAATTACGGAAAACCCGTGAGGGCCAATGTAAGTTGGCGTCTCTCCAAGATTTGCGAGGCGTAAATCGCGTTCCGCCGCCTATTCCTCTACCAGGGCACCCCAACGGTTAGCAGCTTTAGGATCCCAGGATGTTGACCGGGCATTGAAGTCACCTCCAATGAGTATGCTGATCCCGCCATCACTGTGGTTACCAATCAAACGTCCAAGCTTATCCAAGAACTCTAAGTGTCAGACCCTGATGGAATTAGGAGAAATATAGCAAGAAACTATAACTAGTCTCCCAATTTTGGCTGCAACAAAATCGCGCGCTCTGTGGACCAACAAACATCCGTGCGATAACAGAGCAGGTTTCCAGGCGATGGCAGCCAGATCATTGCCACTGGTCAGCCAGTCGGCCGCATCTGAACGTTTCTTCGGGGGTTCCGATATAAGGCCGATCGCAATAGTGCTTTCCGTCATAAACTGGGACTTTCCCTCAAATCATAGGCTGACCAACTTCTATTCAGATTCACCTGAACAAACCTAAGACCCATGATGTCAAGTTAGGGTAAACCTTCCGACTCGGCCCAGCCGTAGATCCCGTCCTTCCCCTGCTGGCAGCTGCAGCTCCATAACCCGTAGTACCCATCCGATGTTTGGATACGTGACCCTCCGCCTCGCAAACTATACAACGAGGTTCCGCCACACAATCACGGACAAGATGGCCCTCACCCCCACAACGAAAGCAGGCATGGGATCTATCCACCTCGGCTTTACAGGCGTGTCTCACATGTCCGAAGCTCCAGCACCGGAAACATTGCACCGGTCTTGCTTGTAGAAGCTCTGTTCGCGCTATCGTCCAACCAATGCGGATCCTGCCCAATGAGGCCACTTTCATCGCCGCAGAGAGCGGACACTGGATCCAAACAGAGCCCAGCCCATTAGCCATCTTTCTAATGAAACCAACCTTAATCTGTGTGGGTAAGCACTCCCTCTTTTCAGCCACCACAGATGCCACTTCATCGGGGTAAACGGAGTCATCAAGGCCCCACATCCTTAATTCACCCCTAGCAACAGGTCTAGTGATAACTGCTTCGTCATGTAAGACCTCCCTCAATTTTGCAGCTAGCACATCAGCCTTCTCGGAGCGGTTGGTGCTAGCTACCTCCACCAGAACAGACCCATTGGCGGCCCAACGAATCCGGGTGCTCTCGATGCCGATTCCGTCTAGTTGGATTTGCTCTCTAGCTCTCCTGAGCGCTTCCGCATATGAAAGACCGTCACTCAAACATCTGATGCTGATCGCAGCCGTTCTAGGAATCCTTCTAGTGCGAAGTCGAGGACGGGCCGAGCCGGACTCTATAGTCGCTCCATCAGCCGAGAGGCCCCCTCTGTCGCCAACGACTCGCGATCCAACCTCCGGCTGAGAGGAAGTATCCACGCTCCCCCGAACCCGAGCAAGTCGCGGCGTCCGCTGGGAGACCTCCTCAGCTCGCACCTTCTCACGAGCAGCCTTTCTTTTGGCTCTTTTAGCAGTCTTGTCAGAAACCCGGCAAACCTCACCTCCATCAGTCGCCCAATCCATTTCGGATTGGACTGCACTGTCTTTAGCGAGCATTTCAGATGCACATTCAATCCGAGGAGGAGTAAATTGTACGTCTTTAGCAACTGCTAGCCTCCGAGGGACTCCACACAGGGGAAAACCATCCGTCGAAGAACCTGGCGTAGCCCCACCCGGATCATCAGCCACCCCAACACCATTGCGTAGCTCCTTCCTAGTTTTAATCAGGACCGCAATTTGCCGGGTTAGCTCAGCCTCGCGCACCGCTTTGTCCACAAGGATCCTCAGCAGGAGGAGTCACGAGCAGGAGACTCAGAGACAACTGCCGGGGCCCCACCCAACGGAGGCCTCAAAACCGGACCAGTATCCATCCGAGGAGGCTTGAAACCGCTCTCACAAAGGATCCTACGCTCGATACTCCGCGCATTGTCCGTATGCGGCAAGTCCGCAACCCTCGCAGACCCCGTCGAGTCCCGCCTGAGCAGAGAGGGCGCCCCACCAGCCTCTTTCTCATTCCTGTTTCGTTCCCTATCCTTTCTCAAGTTCTTTAATCCTTTTCCTAGCTTCCTCTAATTCGGATTTGATCCGCTCATTGTCACTGCGGAGATCCCTCAGCTGCACAGTGAGGTCCATCGTCCTCATACGAAGGTATGAGGGATCACCAGAAGCCTCATCCTTACTGACAAGTGTAGAGATAGTCCCCCTAACCTTAGCCAGTCGACTCCTCATCCGTCCACTAACTCTACCGCTGAGATTATTCGACTTAGAACAAAGCTGCTCTAGCTCTTCAAGAAATCCGTAGCAGGCAATGCCAAGGTCTGTGGCGGTTATAGACGCCATCGCTGTTGTGCCAATAGAATCGATTGAGTCATCGTCAGATTCTTCCTCTTCCTCGCGTCCGAATTTCTTCCTCCTTTTCTTAGGGGCAGAAGCTCTCTTCTTTCCCTTCTTCACTTCATCCTCGCTGGTAGACATAACAGGGACAGCGGCGGAGAACAACATCACGCTACAGCGCCGGATGGGTCTCTCAGACGCGACAGCAGCGCCGGAAGTGCTCGCAGCAGCCGCACAACCACTCCCATCCCGGGCCTTCTCCGAGTTCGAATCTAATGTCTTCGTTATGCCACTCCTGCATCGGAGGTGACGGAGAAGACCATCGTCGTCATCATCTATAGGCCTCTCTGTATCCAGGTCCCTGGACGCGCCCTCTCGACTGACGGGGAGTATCACGGCTTGCCGTCTTACTCCTTTCTGGTCGGGAGGGCATCCGGTGGGGGTGGCGCCGCCACGGGTCGCCTTTTCTGGCGGCCTTTAGTGGCGCTGTCCCGGGGAGTAGTCCGCCCCCTCCCCTCCATAGAGGCGGGCGGATGATTCCCTCCAAAGGGGAAGGGCCAGGTTGCCACAGGGAGGTGGGGGGAAGAGAGGATGTAAATTTCCCTTCCCGAGTTGGGAGAGGACGTGCCCTGAACGGGTGAACCAGGGCCCGTCCTGGATCGGGGGTGGTGATGTCCCCCCCCGATCCATAGCGGGGTTGGACGGCAGGACGCCCCGGATGGAATGCGAGAGCGGTTTCCCGGGGCGTCCGGTCATGCCGTCGAGGATAGGACACCGGCAGAGGTTTTAGTGGGTAGGCCCCCTCCGGGTTAGTTCCGGAGGCGGAGAGTTCCACACTACCCTCGAAAGTCCCCGTCTTTTCCGGGGGTGTGAGTAATGCATTTCCTCTGCTTTAACAAAAAAAAAAAAAATAGGTCCCTGGGCGAAGCCGAGGCAGGACGCTTTGAGTATTTGGCACTCAAGGGAACATCCTCATCACGACCGCGGACAACACATTAACCACCGCCACAGCACTAATAGCCCCTTCGATCTTCACTCGTAACAGTTGCCGGTAAATTCGATCGCGCATCCGAAGAGACGAGTGCAGGCGACGGCATCTCTCCCGCGAAAAGCGCAGGCAAGTTTTCCGCACAAGCAGGTGCAATCTCTTCAGCCTCCTCAGCACCAGACACGTTCCATGAATCAGAGGGAACCCCCAGTAGAGGATCCCCTGCATTCAGTAAAGAGAGAGGGTCGTGCAGGACTTCCCTGGATAATTCGTCCGGCTCCTCCTCGGCGGTAGTAGTCCTCTGCGGTGAGCCCGCCGGCAACACACCGCTTGAGGTAAACGCACGCTGCTGCTTATAGTCCGTTGACGACGTGGCGGGGCCTGGGACTACAACTCCGCTCACACGCCGGCGCGACGTTACCGAGTCCGCCGCAGACTTTTCCTTAAACTCCTCCATTCATAAATTATAATGGGGTTAATCTGAGGACCCCACCTCAGGCGACAAAACGGGTCGCCACCGTAATAACTCGGCCTTTGCTGCTAAAAATAGTTTCCACCAAGAATACAATGAGCCCCAAGAGAGGCAACAGGGCGCGTAAGCGTCCCACATAGCGCGTAAAGCGTCGAAGTGTTCATATAACATTATCACACCAAAGACAATAAGATTGTAATGACCCAAGTGCATCAAGGATCAGATCCTCTGGCTTAATAAAGTCAAAAGAGAGACCATCCAAATGTCCACAAAAGCCCCATACGTACTTCAATGTCTCAAAAGGTTTATTTACGCCTTCCCATAAAAAACAAAAGAAGGCAGACGCAACACAGAGGCGTTTATAAAGCTCAAAAGCACCCCTAAAATTCTCAGAACAACAGAGAAAATTCTCCCGAGTTCATCGCACAAAGTCCCCGAACTGCACGAGCCTCCGTTTACCTGCTAAAGAGGGTTAAAGTTTCCACTTCATTCTTGAGCATTAAGTCCCAAGACTCTATCGAGGCCTTCGATCAAAGTTCGAGAGTCATCTGTCCACTCATTTGTCCGCCATGGCGAATTAAGCACAAAGTCTCGCCACCATAAGTATTCCGCAAGTAATATTTATAATAAGTCCATAAAATACAATCCGCTAGCTCAATAAACTGTAATTAATACTGAAATGTAAATTTCAGTACAAGAGTACGAACCAACGATAGCACCCATCGTCCGGCGGCCCGACGTCATGGTCCCAAAGGAATAGCCAATCGGAAGCCTTGGAACCTCAAGTGGCTTAAGCTCTACCTTCATAGAAATGGAATGGAATTTCACGGAATCCGACTCAACAAGATGGCGGCGCCAAATATCTGCTCGTCATCATCCGCATACAACGGGCACTCGTTTATATGTCTCAAATATCTATAAGCTGTGTCCACAAGCACGTAATTCACAATCCGTACATAATTGCACCTCGAACCTGCCAATCATTCCGACGGAAATGTACTATATATATCACAAACGACAAACATATGGCGAGACTGCGGAATAACATTTTAGACAAGTTTCGCATGCAATCACCTCGGAATTATTACAGTTAATATATAGGCAGATTCCTCGCGAAAAACGGCACACGTCTTTCATAAAATAAGCACTCAGAGAAAAAATTTACCACCCAAAACTCACAAAAGTGAAGCACCACAAGATACATTTGTCAACAACTAAGTCCACCTTAAACCTCTCCTTGCATCATCTTCTACAATCCTACAGTCGAAGAAAACTTCCTAACCCTAATCTCTCAACTATTACTGGCTACAAACTTACCCCACACCTATCATCTCTAACGAATCCAACACCTAGTATCCCCGAAAATTCACATTTTCCTACCCAAATCACCTCCAACTGATACTCTTTAAAAACCACGACTCCGCGCCGCGAGCTCACTTTTACTTTTTACCTTCATTTCAACTCGCACTTCTCAGAGCACTTACTACTCATTTCTTCGCGTATTACTATTTCCTGGAGCACTTCAAGGATTCTTCTTGGACTTTTGGCACCACTTTTGGCACTCGCTTTACGTCCGAGTTATATTTTTTTTTTACTCCACGCAATTTTTCTATTTTTTCTTCACGAGTCTTTGTGTGAATCTTCCTCGTGCTTTACGTATTTACGCCGATCGAGTCAGTGAAACCACATCGAATCAAGAGGGTCTCCCGGAGTCTCACCTGGAAACCACTCACGGACCAATCCGAACCAGGGGCCACCCATCTCCTTATTTGTAACTACATATACTCCAAAAGTAAGTCATCTTATTTTTTCTTTTTCCTTCTTTTATTATTTTGTGTTCTATAATTCTGCTCTTCCTTTCATTATCCCGTCTTCACATTCCCTCCATAATCTGTTACCTGCCTACTACACAAAAATGTTTACCCACATACACAAACTCTCTCGCGCACACATCCGCGTTCTAAGAACTACACATTGTTTGTAATAAATCCGCCGAAACGCATTGTAAACTGATCTTCAATTTTGTATCAAATGTGTAACGAGCTAGAATAAATTAAAATTTTTATTGGAAATTGCGTTATAATGTTTGATTTTCCCTAATTACATCCCCCTTCCCCCCGATATCATCTCGCGCTTGCGGTCCGTCTCGCGATAAAGAGATTCAGTTTTCTGATCCGAAAAGGACCACCCGACGTACGTAGCAAGTCAGAGTAAAGGAACTCTTCTGGTTCTTGACCTGTCTCGCTACAGTTAGGTACGCGCGAAATTTATTGCTACATACTGTTGTGCCCTCAATTAGGATAAGCACAACCGGTAATTGGGATTCCGGTGCGAACGTGCAAACGGTTAGGATAATAAGGGAATCTTATAACCTTGAGGAGTTTTTATAATAAAAATATATTATTGAACTTGTCTTCTTACAGTTTCCGATCACGTTCTATTACACTTCACATAGATACGTTTTAACTAATCCTTTACCGAGTAGGTTAATGTTATTATAATGCGAAACACTCTTATTACTCCCGAGTCAGCGGTCTCCCTCTTGAGACATGTAACGTACGCCTCTATACTGGTCAGTATCTCTCTCTACTCTCTCTGCTCTCTCGAGTGGATGGTCCAACTCTTTATATATCATTCATGAAATTAGGGAATTAGGTTACCGACCTAATTACCTAACAATTCAAAAGTGTAACATGATGTTTCTGCAGCGCGTGCACTTTTGATTTATTTGCCGTATTTCGCAATGTTCGTTTATGCAATACA